TCCCACACTGGCCACCTCCCCACCCTCCTCCGCATCTCTCCCACTGCGGTTCTAAATAACCCCAGATTTTCGGACTCATTTTTCGACTAATTTACTGGAAAATGATCTTGATAATCATCATGTGAGGAAGGCGTTCCTTCATAAGACCTCAGCAGTGGCGGCCGCTGACGATGTGTCAGGAATATCAGTGGAGACGTCAGCTGCCTCTCCGCCCTGCTATTAAACGCACCAGTGATGTGGCGGCTCGTAGCTCGTCATTACTCGCTGATGTACAGTAGCAGGTTGGTCCTGAGTGGTCCTGGCTGGTCCTGAGTGGTCCTGGCTGGTCCTGAGTGGTCCTGGCTGGTCCTGAGTGGTCCTGGCTGGTCCTGAGCGGTCCTGGCTGGTCCTGAGTGGTCCTGGTTGGTCCTGGTGGTCCTGGCTGGTCCTGAGTGGTCCTGGCTGGTCCTGGGTGATCCTGGCTGGTCCTGACTGGTCCTGAGTGGTCCTGACTGGTCCTGAGTGGTCCTGGCTGGTCCTGAGGTGGTCCTGACTGGTCCTGAGTGGTCCTGACTGGTCCTGAGTGGTCCTGGCTGGTCCTGAGTGGTCCTGACTGGTCCTGAGTGGTCCTGGCTGGTCCTGAGTGGTCTTGACTGGTCCTAGTTGGCACCACCTGCCTGCTTTTATTTGTTGTCATTTCATTATATACAATTTTATCACAATCAAATGACCTCATCATACTTTCATTATCCACCATTTTCTCCCGTCTATTACATTATCATATCTCCTCCTTGATGTCCCATTATCAGGTCTTTTCGTTTCTTTTATGTCACCATTGGACTTAGTTTTCCATTATCTCCTTACCAAATTATATTCTTTAATTGCTGGTATTGTTTTCCGTATTAACTTATAATGTCAGCGGAGTTTAATTAAGCATATCTTTTTTTTTTCAATATATTAAAAATAAATAAGATGGATTTAGAGAAGGGAAGAGGAACTACAGAAGCTAAATTTGGTTTGAGAGTTTTGAGTGAAAAGGCTTTTGAGGTCGAAAGAAATTTGCATATCTGTTTTGTGGATTCTGTAAGAGCTTTTGACCGGATAAAACTCAATGAATTTATAAATGTCTTGAGGGAAAATTGGCATTAATGAAAGGGAGTATTAGTAAATAATGAACTTACTTGTTGGTTCACAGTTTGACAGGAAGTAGGACAAGGCTGTGTTCTATCTTCAACATTATATAATATCGAATTAGAATTTTTATTGAGAGAAGTTCTACGTTATAATGAACGAATAAAAGTTAATAGTAAAATAATATCAAACATACATATGATACTGTTTTAATTATTGAAAGTGAAGAGGCATTATAAAAACTGTTTAACAGATTATTGGAAAAAGTTGAAGAATGTGGGTTAAGAGTAAATATTAAAAAGACGAAAGAAATGGTTGTTTACTGGTTAAAATAAATCCTAAAAGAAAGACATTGGTAATCAAATGAGAAGTTAAACAATTAGTAACTTTTTTATGTTTATTTGGGAAGTAACTTTAGTTGTGACGGTAGATGTGTAGAAGTAATTAAAACTAGAATAGGTCTAGAAGTAGGCATTTAATCTCTCTCTCTCTCTCTCTCTCTCACTTCCTATCCACCTCATTCTATTTTAAATTCCTATATTCCCTCACTTTATCACATCGTAATGTTTTCTTTATTTCAATTCTCCCCTTTATCCCGTTTCATCATTCTCTCTTAATTATCTGCATCTTCACGTCTTTAGTATCACCATTATCTTCTCTTATTCACTTCTCATCGCATTTAATCTCTCTTCCCTGTTACGTTTTATCTCCCGTCTTTATTACTCCATCTTTCTCTCTAATTCTCCCTTTATCACCCTTAACTTCTCCCCTCTTATAGGTCTAATTCTCTCCCCTAGTATGACTCCCAACTAAGAGGACCATACGACACAGTTTCATACATCTCCGTGATATTATTATTATTCTCTCTCTCTCTCTAGTCTCTCTTTTTTTCTTTCTCTTTTAATCTCTGTCTTTTTTTTCTATCTCTCGCTATTAGGTTATTGCTCTCTATCTCTCTCTCAGGTTATCGCCCTCTCTCTCTCTCTCTCTCTCTCTTTCAGGTTATCGCCCTCTCTCACTCAGGTCTCTCTCTCTCTCTCTCTCTCTCTCTGTAGTACAATCTAGGCTAGGTGAAGGGTCGCACCAAATTCACTTAGGGGGAAAACCGTTTTGCTGGAAGCCCTGATGTTTGGGCGGCAAGTTCAGCCTCTGTATCCATAACCCTCAATACTGCCTTGGTTATTCTGTTTTACCCTTCCTCTCTCTTTCTCTCTCTTTCTTTCATTCGTATTCTCTCTCAACTTTTCTCTCTTTTATTTATTTTTATATCTATTTTTTATCTTTATTTTTCTTTCTTACTAATTATTCATTTTCTCATTTTTTTTCTCTTCGTAATTATCTTAATTTTTTTTTTAATTTTCATCTTTATTTTCTTTATTTTTAATTATTTTTATTTATCTTTTGTTTTGTTTTTATTCTATCTCGTTAACCATTTCTCTTTCTATCATTATTTCTCTTTCTCCCTGGCTCTCTCTCTCTCTCTCTCTCTCTATTCCTTATACATCATTCTTAATCTCTCTTTTTATTCCTGTTTATCTTATTGCTCTTTCTCTCCCTCTCTATCTCCTTAATTATTATTGTTTATTTCTTTGTCCTCTATTATCCTTCTCTTCATCCATCTTTCCCTCCTGTTATACATATATCTATCATTTATTCTATCTCTATCTATCTACCTGTTTCGTTGTCTATCTATCTGTATATTTCCTTGTCTATTTTATCTGTCTATCTATTTTTTATGCCTACATATTTATAATTCTTTCTCAGACAGATAGATAGATAGATAGATAGATAGATAGTTACCTGTATAGTATCTCAATCTATCACCATTGTGTAGTGTGGTTATGGTGGTGGTGATGGTGATGGTGGTGGTGATTATGGTGGTGGTGGTGATGGTGGTAGTGGTGGTGGTGGTGGTGATGGTGGTTATAGTGATGATGATGGTTATAGTGATGATGGTGGTGGTGGTAAAGAGAGGCAGAACGCTGGTAGGATATGTTTTTTATTGATAATGGTACAACGCCTTACATCTGTTTATAAGAGGAAGACACCTGATTGTAATTCATGTACTGACCACCACACTCTCACTGCTGCTACTGTGTGTGTGTGTGTGTGTGTGTGTGTGTGTGTGTGTGTATGTATGTGTGTGTGTGTGTGTGTACATAATCGGCAGCACTAGTGGGGTGAACAGTTCCAGCCAACACGCCACGCTGTACACTAAGTATCGGGCACAAGTTAAAAGGTTTTCTTATCCACAAACACGACTCAGTAACGCTTAGTTAATTACCACGACCAGCCATTACTGTTGGGTCACACCTCCAACAAGTCCACTGGGTACTTTATATGGATCAAACACCCGCCATCAGTACTGTCACCAATTTTACACCAGAGTTGGAGTTACCAAATGTGTTTCGGTACTTTGTTGTAAATTTTTTCTTTCGTTTAGTCAGAGGTGAAAGCCAGACAAGAAAGTGAAGGTGTGTCCTGACCTCCGCTGTCCTCACCTGGCAGTGGTGGGTCGTTAGATGATGGTGGGTCGTTAGTTCAGGGTGATGATGGTGGGTCGTTAGTTCAGGGTGATGATGGTGGGTCGTTAGTTCAGGGTGATGATGGTGGGTCGTTAGTTCAGGGTGATGATGGTGGGTCGTTAGTTCAGGTTGATGATGGTGGGTCGTTAGTTCAGGGTGATGATGGTGGGTCGTTAGTTCAGGGTGATGATGGTGGGTCGTTAGTTCAGGGTGATGATGGTGGGTCGTTAGTTCAGGGTGATGATGGTGGGTCGTTAGTTCAGGGTGATGATAACTTTAATATGAGGGTGTCCTGGTAGTCTCATGACTCATATAACTCAGAACTTATAATTGTTGACTCATGACTCGATTTTGTGTGACTTTTATGACTCATATATTTCATGACACACATGAGTTGTGACTTACGTGAATCTAATGTCTCATGACTAGCATAAATCATGACTCACTCGATTCATAACATGATGTCATTCTTCCGAGTCACATGACTTGACTCAGGTGATTCCTGTGACTCACATGGCTCGTGATTGTCATGATTTGTAACTCGCATGAAATTCATAGCTCCCTTGACCCACATAACTCTAGTGACTTACATGACTCGTGAGTCACGTGTCTCATTATTCACATGATTCTCATTACTCATAAAACTTAAACCTCAATACCTAGTGCTCGTGTACAACGTCTAATATATATATATATATATATATATATATATATATATATATATATATATATATATATATATATATATATATATATATATATATATATATATATATACACAAGTCTTTATATATCTATAAATATTTACAATTAAGACTCCGTTATAAGTGGTATATCCATCACTATGTACACAGGGATATGATAAAATAATTCTTATATAGATATAAGTAAACTATACACTTAACATAGGGACAGTGTCACTCATACGCACGCACGTACTCACGCACCTCTGCGACGCACTCCTTGTTACATACGCACCTCTGACGCACTCTAACTTTACCTCATTACAGGATGTTGGGCTTATGAGGGAAGGAGAAGGAAGGAAGAGGAAAGAAAGAAGGGAGAATGGAAGGAAAGGGAAGGGAAGTGAGGAGAAGGGAAGGGAAGTGAGAGGAAGGGAGGGCCGTATGTGTGGGAATGGGAATGGTGCCACTCAGTACAAGAAGAGGGGACTGAGGAAAGCAAGTGTGAGAGGAGAGGGAGAGGGTAAGATGAAAGGTGAGGGGAGATAGATACGATAGAGGGAAGAAAGAGAGGGTGGAGGCGAGAGGGGAGATGAGAATGACAGGGTCGAGGAAAGAGAAGGAAGGGGGGCAGATGAGGGAGAGAAAAAAGGAGAGTGTTGAGGAATGACGGGACAAGAGAGAGAGAGAGAGAGAGAGAGAGAGAGAGAGAGAGAGAGATACAGAAGCAGAAAATGATTTATCAGAAGGAAGAAACAAGAGACGAGGGAGGATAAGTAAAAAGAGAAAATACAAAGAAACAAATAAAATAAGAGACGTTTCTATACGCTATAACAAGAGAGAGAAGTGGCTAGCGTCTTGGGGAAGCTTCACACTGTACAGAAAGCAAATATGGGTGAATCGGGCCGCTTGTTTATCTTTACGCTGCACACCTGTAAGTAATTATCAGATACTAGACACATATACACCTCATACCTAAGAGCCTCAACACCTGTCTAAAGTAGAGTGATGACGTACAGGTATCAACAGGTGTGTGTGTGTGTGTGTGTGTGTGTGTGTGTGTGTGTGTGTGTTTTAGATATTAGTAAAAGGTAACTTCGATTACAGGTAATTCTTTGGTTTTCTTATTTCAATGTAAAGAAGTTGAAATACATTAAGTTTGTCCGTTTGTCTGTTTGTTTGTTTAAGATCTAGTTGCCTGATAATAGTTCTTAGTCTGTTAATATCAGTCTTAGGATAATTTTCCTCTTTGTTTTTTTTCCTAACTTTTAAATTGGAAATAAGAACGCATCTACCAGGTCCATCTGAAACTGGGGAACAAATTCAATGATCGGAAATTCGAGATTCTGACGTGACTAGATGCGTTCTCTTGTCCCCAGTCTCGAGAGCGGGAGAACAAAAGAAATCCTAAGTGACGATTCGACTACCAGTTCACTTACTCCGTCACAACGCCGTCACTACACACTGTTACGCTATCATACTGTAACACCACCGTCACAGTAGCGTCCATAGCTTCACGTTATAATCACCAACACAACAACAACAACAAAAACCATGATGTAATGTTACGGTCTACAGAGTATCATTACGCCAGCATTGTCACAGTGATGTAACAATGATGACAGGTTTCTCGGTGGCGTTACCCTATTGCCACAGTTTCATGCCATCACCACAGTTACATCACAGTCCTTGTTTCTATAGCAACGCAGCTTTGTCTCATATCGTCACTGTTACGGCGTCACATTATCGTTACCATCACAGCATCACGCCATTAATCTTTCGTCATGTATCATCTGGTCGATAAATGCGTCACGTATTCACAGCAGCACCACAATACCCTCGCCACAGCGTCACACCATAGAAGCGACGTCATATTACCGTCATCACAGTGGCGTCACATCACCATGGTTACAGCGTCACATAGCAAGTTCACCGCGTCACGTTACATCATAAGTACGGCACCATACTATAAGAGTGACGTCACTTCCCCTTCCCTCCAGCTGCGATACGTCAACATCACCACAGCGGCGTCACATTACCACCACAGCGGCATCACACCCTCGTCACCACAGCAGCGTCACATTATCACCACAGCGGCGCCACACCATCGTCACCACAGAGGCGACACAACAACACTACCACGGCGGCGTCACACCAGCAACAAAGACAGGAGCATGGCGATTGTCAGCAGCGAGAGCGAGACCCAGGGTGAGGAACCTGCGGAGGAAAACAACGTCAGTGGGGGGTAAACATCGAGGCCTTACACACCAAACATTACGCACAAAAAACTAGAACCTTGAGTTACATTGCTTATCTGAGTGTGAAAATGACTCTAGTACACTCACTCACCTTCTTCAACACTATGACTTGAACCCTCGTCCTTAAGGGGAAAGTGTTACCTCCCTATAAGGCCGAGTTCGTCCTCCAAACTATTGTAAATCCTCAAGTTTTCCTCTTAACATTTGCATTTACGAGTTTGTTGTTATGTTAATGTGTGTGTTGTATGTGGATGGTGTTTTGTGTTGTGTGTGGATGGTGTTTTGTGTTGTGTGTGGATGGTGTTTTGTGTTGTGTGTGGATGGTGTTTTGTGTTGCGTGTGGACGGTGGTTGTGTGTGTGTGTGTGTGTGTGTCTGTGTTTCGTACCCTTGTTGTTCCCTTGCGTTACACACTCAGGTTGTCCTGCCTCACAGTAGACACTACAGCCACGTATGACCGTCAGCCATAAACATTATAAATGCCAGAGACAATTTTGTTGTTTTCAAATGGTCTTGCCGTAGCGACGTTGTTCACTAGCCCTGGAAAAAAAGGGTATAGTCACCCCTCTCTCCTGACTCTTGATGTCGGTTTTCAGTACAAATGTTTACTTTATCGAACATTTTTTTCCCTGTTTTCTTCGAGTTTTTTTTCTCCAATTTTCCCTTAAGATAAATAGTTACCTTCCAAGTTATATGACAATAAGGAAGTTCTTGTCCAGCTTTCCTAAAATGACCTAGTTGTTCACCTTGTCCCGATTGTCTTTTTTGAGTTCTGTTATCAACCTCTTTTTCCCTCCTCGTACACCACACACACAAGTCTTGCTGTGTGAAGGAGGTTCATACTTGATGCTTCTCCTACTCTCACCATTTCTACGATTAATGCAACTGTCGTCGGATACCTTTTTCACATAACACAAATGAAACTGCTGTTATAATAGTTGTTGAATAAATTGCCTATTAAAAAAATCTATCGTCCTTTCCGTTTGCCTCCACACTGCCACTACCTTCAGCTGTGTTCCGGCAGATATACGCAGCCGCCATCAGGACGCTGTGTCAGCAAATCCAAATGGCTGGGCTATGTTTACAGCCGCCCAATACACAATAACTGAGGATAAGAACTTCGGTTGAATTAAACTTTCCAGGATATGGTCGTAGAAACTTTTTGTCTATGGTGGGAGGCGAGGCTGACGTGGCAATAAGAGAGGAAGGAGGACCAGGATGGGAAGGAACACCCGAGAATTTGTTCCCGTCTCTCTATCATCCTCTCCACTCCTGACACAGTGGGTGATTGGCGATATTTTGTCGCGTAGGAGAGAGAAGTGTTGATTCCCTCGGGCGCCATAAAGCAGGGCTCAAGGTCCACTGAGTACTCTTCGTCTTATACCGTGCTGCAAAACTCTATGAATTAGTGTCTTGCTGCCGTACACTTTTATAGCCCCGAGGAGTCTCATTGTACCTCCGCCAAGTGAGTTGTGTCGACAGGGTACTACTTGTCGTTACTTAATCAAGAGAGGGAAGTGACTTATCTTGGGAGGCGTGTGATCACTCTACTGACAGTCCTCAGCTCGCTCACTGAGACATTGAACACATGAGGGGAATATGTTAAAATAAGTTCGAAGGATGAAATACGAACTGAACCTCTGAACCTTCAAAAAATCAATTATATAGAGAAACATCATTACGGGTGCTTGTTTAGGTACACACACACACACACACACACACACACACACACACACACACACACACAGCGGTCATGTAGGAACAATAACTTCAACCTTCACACAATACAATTAAGACACAATTAGTTTGATCAGCTGCACGTTACTGTTGCCTTAACTCACACGGTATAGAACACAGGTTAATCTCTCCAGTAAGAAGCTTAACCAGTGGTACATCGCCTTAATTTACATCATTACTTTGGCTGAGTTCAAACTTCATGTTCAACAAAGTAGAGTAAGGACACAACGCACTCATATTATTCTCAGTAAACCTTAATATCAAACCGTGTTCCATACGTCACTCAGCTTACAATACACTGTATGAAATCATTAAGTATTATACTGTGTGTAAAACAGCTTGAGTGACTGCGGTGTGAGGTTAGTATGAGCGTGGTGTGCGGCAGGAAGGTCGTACACCGTGTCATCAGGGAGGTGGGTGAGGGCAGTGAACATGTCTGGCTTCAGGGACGACCACCAATAAGTGATAGTGATCCCGGAGGATAAAATTAAGTTTACGAGATTAAATTCGATAATTAAATTAGGTATTTAGATTAGGTGATTGGGTTTGGGTAGAAACTACGCTTCCGTATATTTTGCACGCCTCCTAAAAGTACAGGAGTTTAATTCCCATGAGCTTAAGTGACCTGCTGTAGGTGCTTACTAAAAGTAGATAATTGTCGTTTATAGGTAGAATTTACGTGACATCGTCGACTACATCCTGCCGTACCTGTTACCTCCACCTTAGGCTCCACCACCTATTATTATTCACAGCTTCAGGGAGACCAACACTCGTGCCTCACCTACCAAGGACACGCGCTGACATCTAACGATTAACATGTAATGTGTTGATACGCCAAGACACGCCTTGGTTTGTCGTCATTGGTCGCGACATATCTTGACAAGTGGCGGGTTTACTGCAGCTGAGCGGCCATTGATAGTGCTCTAGGCTGGAGAGACCTACCGAGTTACTCAGTCTCAGTCTGTAATTAAGGTTCAGGATTTTGGGATGAAACTCCTGATCAAATGTACTTTAATCTTGCAAATTCAGTAGTTAGAACATAAAATCAGCCGAGCATAGACTTATAAAAAGGCATATAAACAGTCCCACTGTAGACACTCAGAGGCTACGAACGGACACGAACCGATGTAACCTAACCTAACCTAACCTAACCTAACCTAACCTAACCTGACCTGACCTGACCTGACCTGACCTATTTAACGAGATATCTTCCCTATGACCGTATGTACCAACCACCTTATACTCCACCAAGCAGCACCTTTATCTACACTCTCTTCTACAATGCGAAAATCAAGCGAGGTGTTGCGTTTGGTTATGAGGAAGTGAGAGATAAGTGAGGGTGAGAGATAAGGGTGAGAGATAAGTGAGGGTGAGAGATAAGTGAGGGTGAGAGATAAGTGGGGGTGAGAGATAACTGAGGGTGAGAGATAACTGAGGGTGAGAGATTCAGGAACATTATCTTAGGAGTAAGAATCAGTTAGCCGGTCTTATAGTCTTCGCCTAAGTCGCTGGGGAGGTGAGTCGGACTTTATCTTGACACTTGGGTTTAATTCAAGAGTTTAGAGGAAGTTAGGAGGATCATAAGCGACCACTGGGGACCAACTATTCCTGTAGGGAGAATATTAAGTGGCCAGAGATGTTAACCTACCTGAGGAGAACCAATCAAATCCCGTGAACTGTGGGTGATAGGTATGGATGATTCACCCACCTGAGGAGAACCAGACTGTGGGTAATGGGTATGGATGATTCACCCACCTGAGGAGAATCAGACTGTGGGTAACGGGTATGGATGATTCACCCACCTGAGGAGAACCAGCCAAAACCTGCGGGCTGCGGATGATCAGCGTGGATAAGCGTGACGTTGGTTGCCTGATGATAAACACTGGAGACCTCGACGTGGCAGCTGAGTGTCACGGCGCCACCACTGAACCAAGACTCTCGCACCACGGCCTCTACCTCCTGACGGCGACCCCCCAGGAGAAGGCAGAAGAAGAAGAATACACAGTGAATCATCCTCCTTCTTCTTCTACATCAGAGTTAGACTAAGTCGCTTATTAAACAGCCTTATTAAGTGAGCATTTGTTAATATTATAATTACTCTCAGTAGTTATCTCAGTTACCACTTACACGAGTCCCTCCCCTCACCCTCTGACACACACACACACACACACACACACACACACACACACACACACACACACACACACACACACACACACACACACACACACACACACACACACACACACACACACACATACACACAAAGTTGTCTCCATTTATCCTCTGCAAAAATATATTTCAGGCATGAACGTCTCTTTAAGACTTTCAACAGAAAATAAAATTTCAGTAATCCCTTCCTTCATTGTTCTTCCCTTCTTTTATTTCCTATCTTTTAGTTCTTTCCAGTTTCATGTTTGTTTTATTTCTTTTTTCTCACTCATTCTATCGAGATTTATGTCTCTTCTTTACTACACCCTAGTTCTTATCTTCAATTTGTTTCCCATGTAATTTATTCGTATCTCCATTTCCCCATCATCTGTTCCGTCTTCTGTCCCACAACATCTACATCATTATCATTACTCTGTCTCTTCCCTCCTATTGTCTCACACTTCATCATCACGGCCAGTATGTACTCACCGAGACCTGGGAGCGTCGTCCATGTTGGTCTGTTTGTCGGGATCGCTGGATTTGTGTGTGGGGGATCGGGGTAGCGGCACTGATGGTCCAGGTGATGTCGGCAGGAGGGTCTGAGAAACCTACCTGACAGCGGGCGGCCACCACGTCCCCAGGCCTCACCCGCGCCCCCTCCAGCACACCTGATCCCTGTATCACACCTTGGCCGTGTACCCTACCCTGGCCACGATCCACGCCCCCGCTATGCATCAGATCGGTGCCCTTCACTACGCCTGTTATCTCTGGTCCCCACGTTGGTACGTCTTCGAGGGAGAGTCATCGAGTCGAGAGAAGTGTTATTGTTATGAATTGGTAAGTGATCAGTTAATGTAAAGGGCAAATTGTTAGTTGGGTGAGAGGAATAAATAACTTTGTTCAGGAGGCAACTCTTCGAAAATATGGAAATTATTGGTAGTATAATAATTAGGTTTAGAAGAAGAACTGTCCTCCTAGGTGGTTCACTCACCTACCACCGTCATGTTGACAGCATGATCGTCCGTCTCGAAGAAAGGTTTATCGCCCATCACCTCGCAACGGAAGATACCAGAGGTGCCTCGCGTTACCTGCGACAGCCATACAGTCGGCCCCGAGCTGCCTTCCTGCTGCAGGGAGAACAAGGTACTAGTTTTATCACCCCCGACCTGCTCGCTCCTACAGGAACAACACAGCTATTGCAAGAGTCACTTTTGATAGTTATTTTTATAACACCATGATCATATAACACGTGTACTTAATGTTTGTACACGTGCAGCTCATAGACATGAAGTCGTCTGAAAACTGATCATTGAACTCGTTAGAAAATCAAGAGATTTCTATTACATTAGTGATGCAAGGTGAGTCAGGGGAGGTGAAGAAACATACAGTACTTACATCGACGGTAATGTGAGGCAGCTTAAACACCCGGACTGAGGGCTTCCTGCCGGGGATGTACTCGTAGAACTGGTGGACGCCCCGGTACCACTTGACCGAGTACAGGGGGTCTTCTCGGTCGCGATTGCGTTCGTAATTGCACATAAGTTTTACCGATGATCCCGACACTACTGCAGACGGCACCACTACCCCAGACACCCGCAGACTCCATCCTGTAGGGGAGGACAGTGACAATCAGGTTCCTCAGCTGTAGGGGAGGACAGTGACATCAGGTTCCTCAGCTGTAGGAGAGCCACAGTTATCTAGTAAGGAAGAACCTCCAGAAACTCATCACTGGTGAAGGGAAGTAGAAGGTAGTACCAGAAGACATCAGGGAAAACGGGTTAGAGGAGTTACACGGTTAAGACGCTAATATTTAGGTGAAGTCCTTGTTGAACCTGCCGAAGGTGTTGGCGCGTTCCTTCTGTGTGAACCCTTTGAGTACGATGGTTTAAGCTATCATCCCCAGTCATCATTCTTAAAGGATTAAACCATCTTCTTATATCATTAAACTATCATCTAAAATTGTTAAACCATTCACATGATCAAACTATCGTCCTCAAAGTGATAACATAAAGGCAACGGGAGTGTCTTACCCTTGGTGCTGAGTCCAAGGAGCAGCAGGAGGCGCAGGAGAGCAGTCGCCGCCGCCTGGCCCAGCCTCATCTTCCAGGAGCCACAGTAGCCAGTAGTCTTGATACACCGTCCACGCCTTCGTCTGCACGCCTCCCCCAGCTGCTGTTGGCTCTATCCTAAGGCACCGTTCACAAGGCCTATACGTTCTCACGCCTTTTGCTGACCCACTACTGAGGCACAGTCCATGCCCCTGCGCCTCGTTCACGTCCTTCTTTCTCCGTCCTGAAGCACTGTCCACACCTCTGTCTGTATACTGCACCTCCTCGTCTCCCTCACCTCCTGCAGGAGTCAACAGGGAAATAAAAAAGGAACTTTGAGCTTCTTAATGTTTTCATGCAGAGGAAAAAAAATCGAAGGTGGACTTGTTGACCAGACTAAAGGTCCCAAGATCTCTGGAATTTATTTTAAGAAAAGACTGAAGGAGAGATATGATGATTGTACAAAAGGGACAACTTTAGGGAGATTATGCTTCAATATTCTACTCCCTGAGACCTCTCTCTCTCTCTCTCTCTCTCTCTCTCTCTCTCTCTCTCTCTCTCTCTCTCAGTATCAGACCCACCGCCACACACACCTTACAACGACCAACATTCCCCGGAGACAAGAATACAAGCACTCATAGTTGGCCCGGGAGTGGACGGACAAGAGACGAGACAAATATTTACTCAGGATGAATGGGGAGACTGGAGTCGCGAGGACCGGCTTCGTTGTGGTTCTGGTACAGTAGCTGAGTTACCTGTTGCATGGTTGAATATATGTGTGTGTATGTGTGTGTGTCTGTGTTTGTCTATATGTGTCTATGTGTATCTAAATGTGTGTGTGTGTGTGTGTGTGTGTGTGTGTCTGTCTGTCTGTGTTTGCCTATACGTGTTTGTGTGTATCTAAATGTGTGTGTGTGTGTGTGTGTGTGTGTGTGTGTCTGTCTGTCTGTCTGTCTGTGTTTGTGTATACGTGTCTATGTGTGTGTGTGTGTGTGTGTGTCCCTCTCTCTTTCTCTCAGGCTGTCATTAGTTCCTGTACCAATAACACACACGAACATTTATTTTTATGTCATTGCAGCAGCTGAAACGACCATGTGTGTGTGTGTCCTGACAAGACACCTAACCTAACCTAACCTTTGTCGTGGTCCTCAACATCTTTTAAAACATTCGACAGTGTGACATAAATCCTGATTTTTTTTTATGTTTTTTCTGGGGGGTTTCTGAGTCATTCTGTTCTTTGATCATCAGTTGTCTTTCGAATTGTTCATCTCAGTAATGGCCGATGGTTCACCTTCACCTTGTTACTCAATCCACACTGGCGTACCCGATGGTTATGTCCCGTCACCCACACTCTTCCCTCTCACCATAAAGGATCATCATTGTTCAATCTATAAACCATCTTATTCTAATTCCCGTAACTCTAATCACCCATTATTTTTTTTACCTCAGTTTTATTTTCCACTTAATTTTATTGCTCACTGTCTCTCTCTAATGATCCGTGTACTTTCTCTTTTAATGCGGATCTGCAAAATATCTCCAGCTAGGAAGTATTACCTTAGTTCAGCATTTGTCTTTCTATTCCATTCCTTCCCATCCATTCATCCCCCCCTCCCCCCCCCCTCAAAAGAACCCTGATGAAGTCGAGCAAAAATATAAATAAGTTTGGTTATCATGCCAACTCTTCTCACAACCCGTCGAAATCTATTTCCTGGAAGCTGAGGTGATGTAGAAGTGCAGGAATTGTTTTCATCCGACCAGAAGCGCCATATACTTCTACAAGATACGTGGGGGGGAATCGATAATCCTCTCTCTGGTATTCCTTCGGCCGCTGTTCTCAAGAGGTGTGTACAGTACCATCCTGTCGGCTCACAAAGACCAGGTCCCAACGACACATGACTGGCTATTTCCTCCCTCGAATTCACTGTTGGCGTCCAGCTGTTCAAGGATACTCCATTACGATACTTCCTTCTCTTCCTTCCTCAGCTTTAAACTATGGAACACTTTATCTACTCGTGTGTTTCCTCTCCTCCTTCTATCTGTCATACTCCTTCTGTTGGGTTTATGGATATTTGGGAAAAATGGTCTAACTTCATTTTATTTTCCAATATGGCCGCCATTTGGGTATTTGTTTATTCCGTATTGATATCATATGAGAAAGAGGTATGCAGCCCAAGACCTTCCAGCCAAAGACGCAGAAGGGGGTCAAGGAAGAGGAGGTAGTACAGGAGGAGGAGGAGGAGGAGGTAGAGAAGGAGGAGGAGAGGTAGAAGAGGAAGAGGAGGGGGAGAGCCCCAGGGTGGATGAAGTGATGGTCAGTAATATAGAAAGTTTGGCTGACAACTTTTACTGTCGCCTTTATTGACATCACGACGACTTGTGTGATTCTCAGACTTTTATTATTATTATTATTACTTGTGGCTCATGTGACCTGATGAAGGATTATTTGCTGACAGTTAATAAAGAGTAAAGGTGTGGGGCTGTCGAGTGGATATAGCACTTGTCTTCTGGCCTAAGGGTAGCTGGTTCGATTCCGGGTACCCCCAAAAAAAAAGTCCACCCAACTGCAGATGAAAACTTAAGTGTAATATTTCAATTGGATGGAGTGAAGGATGGACGAGTGTAGCTACTCCGTCCACGCTGCCTCCTTGTGTACCGAAGAGAGCCAAGACTTTTTTTGGGGGGGGGTAACACTAGTAAATATCTCAATATCCCTAAACACTTCAGGATGGATCTCATTTGTTCCATGACTCCTCCTCCACTGTTGTACCATTTGAGGATTATCTCATGGTATTTACTGACTGAGAGACGGGAAATGATAAAGTGGGAAAAGGCAAAAAAGCAAGATGGTAGGATAGACTGAAGGATGCCCGAGAAGTGGAGGGTGTGTTTTGAGGGGGGGTAGGGGGCAGTGATGTGCATGTATGAGTAGATAGCATTTTTTTTTTTTTTTTAAGGGTTAAGAGCCTCGATGCTGACAGGTAATGATGGCATGTGTGTGAAGCAACTGAGGTAAGCCGGATGGATATTTAAGGCGTTGGTGTGGAAGGAGAGAAGCATGATACAACCGCAGGAACAAGTAATGAATGACGTGGATGGAAGGAGAGTGAAGTGGTTCTTGAGTCCTCCCGTTCAATATTATAACGGTGGTAATACTTGGACATAATATACAATCAACCTTTAACTTTATAAACTAATTCTCAGAAATTTTCTCATACTGGTTAAAACTATAAAAAAAAAATTGTGTTCAGTGACGAGAAAATTGTAAACAGTTTATGGTTCAGGTAAGGTTTTAGAATAAATTAATTAAAAGCGACATAATTTTCAGTATGTGTGTAAACCTGAATAGCTCTCTCTCTCTCTCTCTCTCTCTCTCTCTCTCTCTCTCTCTCTCTCTCTCAAATCGACATCTCTCTTCCTTTATTATTTTTATAGATAACATTTTTTTTCACTTATCCAAATCAATAATCATAATTTCCACCGTTCAACACAAAACCACAAATCAGTACACAGTAGTTAGGTTATTCCAGAGACAAGCCAGACAGCCCACAAGGTATTAAATTTACTCCACTACTCAATTGACGGTTCTGCCTTGCCTTACCTGCACGACCTCAGTAACACCTCCCCCCCAACATTTTACCCCGGGAGTGGAAGCTAAATGGGGAACCTCTGTGTAGAACTGCCAGTAACCCCAGCCTATGATAATTAACCCCCCACAGATATTAGTCAGTTAGGCTTTGTTATCGTCTCTTAGAACATTAGCGTCATTGTCAGAGAGAGTTACTTGAGATGGTAGAGGAGGAGGAGGAGGAGGAGGAGGAAGGGAGGAGGAGGGGAAGGGGAGGGGAGAGGGGAAGGGGAGGGTTAGGATCTCTTAGTAATTAGCTATATCAAGCCTAGAATAACATAGTGTATTCAGAAACAGTAGTAGAGATGTGTTAAAGGTATACAGGTACAGGTGTAGGTGCAGGTGTAGGTGTAGGTACAGGTGTAGGGGCAGGTGTAGGTACAGGTGTAGGTGCAGGTATAGGTACGGGTGTAGGTGTAGGTACAGGTGTAGGTGCGAGGGCAGGTGTAGGTGCGGGTGTAGGTACAGGTGTAGGTGCAGGTATAGGTACAGGTGTAGGTACAGGCGTACGTGTAGGTACAGGCGTAGGTGTAGGTACAGGTGTAGGTGTAGGTACAGGTGTAGGTGCAGGTGTAGGTACAGGTGTAGGTGCAGGTGTAGGTACAGGTGTAGGTGTAGGTGCGAGTGCGGGTGCAGGTGCAGGTGCAGGTACAAGTACAGGTTCAGTAATTACCCCCATGATATCCGCGAATGATAGGAAATTTCTGTATATATTGGAGAACGTGGGGTCACATATTACAACATATAAAGACAGATGGAAATAAAATGCATCTTCCTTCGACTTGGTGGCGGAGAATAACAAGGAGTGAGTAAGATCTGTTCATTAACTACCTGCATTAATTAAGCCGCATTTAAAACGTATCCACCAGTTAGATCAGAAAAGGCGGGGATTAAACTGATGAAATTGAGACAAATGTGGTATAATCACAAACACTCATCAAAGTTATCTTACCTGTAGTTCTTAAAGTATAATTACTGTTGTCTTTAAAATATTCAGGTAATTATATCATTCTCGTATACAGACTAATAAATTATCTTACTATATTAAAAGAGTTAGTTATCTGATCAAAAAAAAATATCAGTCATAATTTTCTCCTAAAGGTTCACTAAATTCTGGTCCTGAAATTCAATAGAAAATAATAAAATGGTTGGAGTATTTATTTCAATGAACTCTAAGTCAGGAATTTCGGTATTTTGATTACTCATATTAAATTGGACCAAAATATCAGACTAAACTTAAACGTCTGAGTCAAGTGAAGCATCAGGCAAAAGATGTGTCTGTCTGAACGTAGAGAAAATAACCTACTACAACTGTTTAATGAATAGACGAAAACACGTAACACTTCACTAAACTTTACACTTAATAAATCAATAAACACTCACACCAGATTTGCTTAAACTACTCTAATAAATATATGAAACATTCCCTCTTTTTTAGTTTATTTTCATGGATAATATAAAGAAGAAAATGAGTTTGTTTAAAAAAATAATAATATACGAAGGAGGAGTGAGGTGGGTGGTTCGTCTAACCAGGTAATCTGCCGTGATGTTGCCAACAGTGATTGTGGCTAATTGCTTCCACACCTCACCTGCCGCCCTTCCCTCACTCACCTTAATTAATGAGGCGAAGGTTTATCATCAGCGAAATCTTAATAAGGGGTCGATTTTTTTCAAAG